CTGGAAGCCTGGGAGCCTGGGAGCTTGGGAGCCTGGGGGCCTGGGAGCCTGGGGGCCTGGGAGCCTGGGGACCTGGGAGCCTGGGAGCTTGGGAGCCTGGGGGCCGGGGAGCCTGGGAGCTTGGGAACCTGGGGGCCTGGGAGCCTGGGAGCTTGGGAACCTGGGGGCCTGGGAGCCTGGGAGCTTGGGAGCCTGGGTGCCTGGGGGCCTGGGAGCCTGGGGACCTGGAAGCTTGGGAGCCTGGGGGCCTGGGAGCTTGGGAGCCTGGGGGCCTGGGAGCCTGGGAGCTTGGGAGCCTGGGGGCCTGGGAGCTTGAGAGCTTGGGAGCCTGGAAGCCTGGGAGCAGGGGGCCTGGAAGCCTGGGAGCCTGGGAGCTTGGGAGCCTGGGGGCCTGGGAGCCTGGGAACCTGGGAGCCTGGGGGCCTGGGGGCCTGGGAGCCTGGGGACCTGGGAGCCTGGGAGCCTGGGATCTTGGGAGCCTGGGGGCCTGGGAGCCTGGGGACCCGGGAGCCTGGGGGCCTGGGAGCTTGGGAGTCTGGGGGCCTGGGGGCCTGGGAGCTTGCGAGCCTGGGGGCCTGGGAGCCTGGGGGCCTGGGAGCCTGGGGGCCTGGGAGCTTGGGAGCCTGGGGGCCTGGGAGGCTGGGAGCCTGGGGTCCTGGGGGCCTGGGAGCTGGGGGCCTGGGAGCCAGGGAGCCTGGAAGCCTGGGAGCTTGGGAGCCTGGGAGCCTGGGGGCCTGGGAGCCGGGGGCCTGGAAGCCTGGGAGCCTGGGAGCTTGGGAGCCTGGGGGCCTGGGAGCCGGGGGCCTGGAAGCCTTGGGGCCTGGGAGCCGGGGGCCTGGGAGCCTGGGGGCCTGGGGGTTTGGGGGTGACACAACCATGAAATGGTGGTATCGAAAGATACCGGTTGAGGCAAGTGGATTGAATAATAATCATTCTAGAATCCACTTGGGCCTCATGCCAATAAGTTCCAGTATGGCTGGGTGGTGTGATGTTGACCATAGTTCGCAGGAACTACTCTCGCCTCATGAAGCAGACATCCAGGAAGGCAGGTTCCA